AGATAATGTTTCAGTCCCTTCAGAAAGTGACTGATGAAATTTACGATTTAAATCAGCTGTTCCTTCTTCCATAGTAATGAATTTCTCCTTAATATCAGCCACTAATGTTTCACTTCCTACTGAAAGTGATTGGAGTTTACAATCCAACTCTGCTGTTCCCTCTTTCATAGTCATGAATTTCTCCTTAACATCCGCCTGAACCTTTTCTAAATTTTTTTCGGTCACCATTGTCTTGTTAAACAAAGTTCTGTTCTCTTCCTGTAGAACTTTAAACTGATTCTTGAGAATATCGTTGTCATGCTTAATCGTTTGTAGATGTTCAACCTCTGCCTTAAGAATCCTGGATTCAAAAAAAAAAAAAAAGAATCCTGGATTCGTCTCTTAAAGACTCTATCAGACTTTTGTTGTCAAACCACTTAATACCAAGGAAAACTACTAATCCCAGAAGGATCCATAGATGTGGGGTGCTAGACACCTCTTGTAGGATCTCCCACATGGCACACTCAAAAAGGTTATTGAAGTTGGGAACGGTGATATTGTCAGACATTTTATTTATAAAAGGAAAAAAAATTACCTGTAATGACTGGTTCCTGCCAGAGATGGCGAAAGAGTCCACTTGAATCCACGTGGAGAGTTGATCTGAAATAAATCTCAAGACCGAAATTTATTAAAAGTGACCCCTTCGGGGGCCAACTGTGGCAGTTTGTGTTGTAAAACCGCAAATATTTAAGCTTCACTGTTCAGCTCCAAACGTCAAGGCAGAAAGGGAGGGGTTAACTCCTCTGGCTCTGCAAGAGGAACAAAGCGCTGGCTGCGAGCAGCTCCGGACCGCCGCAGCCTAGGACCGGTGTGGGGGAGGTGCGCTGTTGTTGCTAGGAACCAAGCGCTGCCTGTGGACCTAGAGCGGGCGGGCAGGCGAGCAAGCAGGCCCAGGACCTGCTGTGGGCTGCGGGATAACGAGCAGCGGGGGCAAATGGGCCCCCACGTTGGGCGCCAAATGCGGTGGTTGGATTAATGAGCACCAATGATACTAGGTATTTGAACAAGTTTAATAACAAAACCAGACTCATGAAACCAAGGTTCCAGCGGAGTACCCGGCAGAGGCAGGAAGGGCCGCGCAGCATCTGTGCACCCAATTTATCAGTAAACATATGCCCAAGGGCAGCCCGCCCACAAGGGGAGGGCTTATCCCTACACCTCAGCATCACCACAGCTTGTGGAAGAGACCCTGAAAGAAATAGCTGTTAGGTTTAAGAATGTTCATTCCAGTGTGTTCAGACTGATATTGAGGTCTTTGATCCATTTGGACTTGAGTTTTGTGCATGGTGATAGATATGGGTCTATTTTCATTCTTCTACAGGTTGACATCCAGTTGTGCCAGCACCATTTGTTGAAGATGCTTTCTTTCTTCCATTGTGTACTTTTAGCTCCTTTATCGAACATGAGGTGTTCATAG